GCCTCAAAACCACCAAACTCATGTATGAAGGTATGTACAACACCTTATCAACCAGGTTTGCTAGAGGATAAATAAAATCTGAGATGGAATTGGGGATTACAGCATTTGCTAAAATATATATATATATATATATATAGTATATATATATATAGTATATAATATTAATTAAATAAAATAGGTAATGAAAATATGAATTATTTGCAACTCTTAAGATAAAAGTAAAAGATTCAAATAATTGTTCCAGTGACGTTGGAGAAATGTATGTGACAAGAACCACATACTTAAGTCAAAAAGAGAATGAAATTAGTGCTTAAAGAGTTTGTTGATTAATTGATTAATCAGTCATCATAAAATTAATCAGCAACTATTGTAATAATTGATTTCATCTTTAAACAACTTTTCAAATAGAAATGCCAAACATTTGTAGATTCCAGTTTCTCCCATGGTGTGTATTTGCTAGCTTTTTTTCTTGCAGTAAAGCCATTTGTTTCCATTCATTTTAACTCTAAATTTAATAGACCAAATAATTAATCTGCTAAATGAAAGAAATAATTGAAGGACTAATCATTAAAGAAAATAATCCTCAGTTGCAGACTAAACTGAAAGTAAAAAGTCTGTTTGTTCTGTCAGCTTTTTGCTATAAACACAGCTATAGCCCAGTTTTCAGACACTCAAATCTTTCTAGAATGAGTAGATTGATCACTTTGTTGATTCTTGGTTGTCATTATTGTAGAGTCACCAACTCTAGAACAGACATAACATCAGTTCTCTGTGACTTAAGCGTGTGTGTGTGTCCATCCACAGTGGCTGACAGCAGCAGTAACTGGGCGGTGTGTGGGAAGAGTTCAGGGATGGTGTCGATGCCTATGGCGGCCAGCGCCACCCACAAGGTGCAGATCGAGGTGATGCCTCTGTTTGCAGGACACCTGCCCTTCCCCAAGATCAAAGTGCTGAAGTACCTGCCTCACACTGCAGCAGTGGCCATCCAACCAGACCCTGGTAAGACCCCCCGCCCCCCAAACGTAAAACCACAGAACTTTGTAGACGTTTATTCCGTAGTGAGGGAACAGAGACTTTAACTTTGTAGAAAACAGTAGATGGATCCTTTCGGAATTTGCGGTCATTCCGCATGTTATATAGCTGGAAAAGCAGGAAAAACTATTTAAATGTCATTCAAAGAGCAGGTAGGATATTGAATCTCTGTCAGCTGACCATCCAACAGCAGCTGTGAGAACACTACTTATTCTGCATGATGAAAACACAGGTAAATATTGGGTAAAAGACATATTAACGTTGTTAAACCACTGCCTGTTAGGTAAGATTCAGTTATAATACAGGACAAACTTTATATTTATCTTTGGACAATTCATAAACCAACAGAATACGTCAAGTAAGCAGAAAGGACACTGGTCACAGCCACGAATCATCAAAGCCGTTTCCAAACAAAACCTCTGCTGACTTGTTTGTTGTTGTCTTGCCATCCTCAGACAGCTGCGTGGAGAACGATAGTCTGTCCCTGCTGGACAAGGCACTGGACGACCAGGGGGACACGGCGAGCATCCGCAGCCGAGGCAGCGTGCACTCTGTGGGCAGTGGCGACCAGCAGCAGAAGGGCGTGGCCATGCCGCGTCTGGAGCCCTTCAGCCCCGGACAGGTGTTCAACCACAGCCACACGCAGCAGGTCCTGGTGCTTCCCGCCACCGACGACCACATCATGGAGGTCAACGCTACATGACCCTGGTGGCGAGACCACCCGCCCCCTTCTTATAGAACTGAACCCAGGCCCTGGACGGACTCTGCTGAGCTTTTGCTCCGGGGCAAATCGGGTCCATGAGTCCATGTTGGAGACTGCTGCAGGTTGCCGGTATGGACTCACCCCTAAGCATGAAACGTTCACATCACTGGAGACATTATGAACTAGACACAGTGACGAGCCAATGACATCTGCTGAAAACTGAAATAAAGATTTTTCTTTGCCATACTTTGTACATAGCTCATTGGATGGATTTATAGTTCTAAATATATAAATATATATATGGACCGATCGATCAGATCGGCGCCTGTCGTGCTCCTTCGAACTGAAGAATAACAGTCCTGATTGTCCCATGATGCACCAAAGCCCTACATGTGTGTACGCCTCGATCAGCTACTCAAGTACTGTAACTTTGAATGAGCGTGTCCCGCTGTAAGTGCTCCCCCCGAGCCCCTCCAGTCTTCACTTTTACATTTGAGACTTTTGCCTCGACGATTACGTTTAAGTTGCCGAAATTAGCTGCTATTTTTCTCAGAAATATTACTGAAGTCAAAGTGAGGCAGGTTAACCAACTTGAATGCATCTTTGGAGACATTGATAATCCTCCAGTCTATAGAAATATAACTGCAGTTTAGAAAATAGACAATACACTATTTCCTGTAGTGAGGTTTCATTTTGATAAATCATTGGAATATGATCATCTTTATTGATCTCCCTCCAGAGTTGGAAAAATGTATTTGAAGTAATTTGAGGTGAAATATTCATTACTATACTACATACTTTATTCTAAACATCAGTTTTATTACACGTTTACAGCTAAGAGAATAGTTTTTGCTCCTGCTGGATAGAAAAGTCAAAAATGCTGTAATATTTATGAAATCTATGTATTTTTAACAAAAACAGTGACTTTATTTTCGGACTCAAATGCAAAAATCGGCAAAAAAAAATCTCAAATATAAAAGTGTGGATGACACGAGGAGCTCAGGCTGAGTCCAGCGGTGTGTGTTGTGTGTATCTGTTCAGCTGTGGTTCTGTGTATGTGCGAGGGTCTACGTGTACGTGTCTCTACGAGTGTGTGTGTGTGTGTGTGTGAGTGTGAGTGTGTGTGTGTGTGAGAGAGATCAGGTGAGACTTTTAAACAAGGATGTGCACATTATTGTCTATCTATTGTCTTACCAACCAGTGGATTGTTCATATACAGTGTGTGTATATTTATTCTGTGTGCGCGTGGGGTGTGTGTGCGTCGCCAAATCTGTGTCCGAGCTATGCACACGTACCGTTAGGTGTTGAATAGATAAATGAAATAAGTCATTACTGGATTTATTCATTCATTTATTTAAAAGGATGAATGTCAGCTACTTCTGCCCCCCCCCCCACTCCCTGCCT